TCCGACTGTCACTTTCATGATCTGGTAAGCGACGCTCTGATTGGGCGGACGTGACCCCTAATGGAATGTCCTCAGATCTTTGTTAAACGGTAGCGAGAACTAAGATCTGATTTTAATGAGATTGATCCTTCACCTGTTCAATGTGAACAATGGCGGTTCTCTGGAGTCACCATTTTTTCCTCAGTTACCAGAAGGGTAAACCAGTTGCAATGACCAGCTCAAAATTCACTACAGATCTCAAAGCTCTCGCTACCAAGGCCAGGGTAGAGGGTGATGTATCAAGTCATAGCTTCAGGCGAGGTGGTGCCACCTGTGCGCTTGGCTGTGGTGTGCCGGGGGAATCGTGAAGCTCATGGGTGATTGGAAAAGTGCTGCCTACTTGGCGTATGTTGATCAAATTCTTCAAGCTGTTCTCAATCATTACAGGACTGTTGTTACAAATATGCTTCCCGATTGTGTCTGGACGTGTGTTTGGGGTAAAAGGGTGTCTTTCTCGTTTTGGGGGTTTAAGAGTTTCTGCTGGCTCTTTCCCTTTTGCTGAATGTAAAGTTTTCCCATGTCATTAAACGAGACCCTCTCTTTCACCCAACACATGTGTTTTTTTCTCATTCACTAATGCTCTGCATTTGCTGTTCCGGTATGTTTGCTGCGTACCTGTGTTTTCCAGAGTGAAAAAAAATTAAACGGTAGGAGTTACTTCTCCAAGGACAGGATTGTCCGGTTTTTAGTTTAGCATACTTCCATATCCGGTGGCTAGCTATCACACAGTGGCGGCAAAATTTAATCATGGCAACGCCCACCTCCACCCACATAACACCACACACTCATAAACATTGAATGTTACATTTTAATATAAAATGCATTATTTTTTCGCCCTTTTATTGTATGCAACTGAATTACAAGTTTTAAAATCCTCTAAGGTTTGGCTGGTACTCCCCTTAATACTCGTCTTCAAGCTAACTGTTTATGAACCTTTGTTATTGTGGTCATAGCTAAGGCTCACTGGAGACCCTCTCTTTCACCCAACACCTGTTTTTTCTCATTCATTAATGTTTTGCATTTGCTGTTCCGGTATGTTTGCGTTGTACCTACTCCGTTAGAAGTTTAAATGCATTGATTGATTGTATGGTTTTACGCCGCTTTTAGCAATCTTCCAGCAATATCACTGCGGGGGACACCAGAAATGGGCTTCACACATTGTACCCATGTCGGGAATCGAACTCGGGTCTTCGGCGTGACGAGCGAACGCTTCAATCACTAGGCTACCCGTCCGCCCCAGTTTAAATGCAAATTGCGTAAATGGTGGGTGTTACCGGCATGACATGCTCACCTGGTGTCATTATTGATTTTCAGTGATCCATTCATATACGTTTCACCGCTATTTCGCATTTCACGCCCAATTCACGCCCAATGGAATCTGTTTCGATGGATAATCGAGACTGGTTATTCTCAGGCGTTGACGTTTTATATGCATATTTAGCTCAACATTTCTCTCGATTGTGAGATTAGCTGGATATTTTAGCGTCCTAAATTTCGGTTCGGGATAAAATGGGTCAAGGAATTTATCAGAATAGAATAGAATAGAATAGAATAGAATAGAATTCCCTGGATCATCGAGGATGTCCCAAGGGGGAACTGACAATGTATTATATATTATATATATGTTCTTTTACTCTCTGTGTGTATAAAACTGTCACTCACTTGCACACACATGTTTAAATTACATTGGGTCACACCAAAACCATGTCAGAGGTGTGCCCATTATAATAACTTGTTTATCCATTACATATTATCTATTATAGTGACATTTCGAAAGCGAGGTCCGCATATTTGCCATGTTTTTCCTGAATCTTGTCAATCACAATGAACATACTATAATAATAATAATTATAGTAATTGATGAACGCATGTTGATCATGTAGTCCGAATCGTGATCAAAATGGCTTTTTGGTACAGTTAAAATTGTTGAGCACTTTTGAGAATCGAAGATCAGTGGTTCGATCCCCGACCCCGTCACACCAAATTATGGCAACCAGGTCACTGAGCCTGACCACTCGATTTTTTACGTTGTCCTTACGAGAAGCAAGGGTTGCTGACATTCGTCACCACTCGTCCCTTTCCGTAACCTGCAAGAAGACTCGTCCCCCTATCGATGAAAATTATGTGCGAAAATACGACAAACCAATCAGAATGCGCGTATGATTCCAAGTTCTTCCTCAAAGAATCCCTCAGAAATAGTTTTTAATTTTACATATGTCTTGCATCTAAACATATACCCAAGACACAGTTAAATGTGTTCAATGATACCGTATAATTCCGCATGTCCCGATGTGCTTTAAATTGCATCTGAAAAATATATAATATATGGGGAAATGTATGTGAACCATTACGCAAAGAGTTGACAATTGTTTTAGGTATGCCCGTTTGCGCTAAGACGGAATTCGGTCGCAAAAATGGCCATGAGAAGGGCACGAGTCGCTATTCGGCTTGTCGCGGAATAACACGAGTTGGTCTAGAATGGGTTTCTGAGGAACATTTCTCATCCAGAATCTTCAAAGCAGCCTATGTGCCTAAATGTGCTACTTACCTGTTTGCAGCCTTCGTCCCGTGGATAGAGCGTCAGCCCGGGGAGCGGTATGCCGGTTGTTCGATCCCCGGCCGCGTCATACCAAATGACGTTAAATAACGGTACTTGTTGTTACCCTGCCTGGCGCGAGGCATTTAGGGACTAAACTACGACCAGCCGGCCTTGAGTCAGTATACTGTGTCTGAGTGGCGTATCCATGTTAAACTGCAGCATGGTTTCTCAGTGGGCTAGCACTATAAAACTGGAATTAGTCCGGACTAGTACAAGCAGCCACACACACGTGCATGCACGTCGCTATATAAGTGCAATAATCTTGAACGCGACGTTAAACCCAATATCTACTCCCACCACTGCTTTGACTTGACCCCTAATTGGCCGCCGAACTGTCGTCTGCTGATTTTCATTGACTTCCTGTCACAGACGATAACAAATGACCCGGGTCACTACTCCTGATTGTATAGAGAGAACAATGGCGGTCTCTCGACACTGAGTATCAAGCCGTTAACTGATGGAGTGTGAGAAGGGAACAAAGGTAACAATAGAACTCCCGAGAGGGAGATATGACGAGGACAATAGATGTATACACCGATCCTGAATCAGGCGTGAGGTGCCGTATAGAGGGATCAAGAGGCGGGTCACCAGCATTGTTTGGCTGGAAACATCCTGCTGTTGTCAGGAGACTGGCACCAGTGCTCTCATCGTATCGGTCTTGTTGTTGAGATATATAAACACAGGTACTGGAATATTCGAGCCATTAGGACAACGCAGGCTTGCCAGATGCAGAGGAAACGAGCAATGGTTTTGGAATGAATTATTTGAAGTAATTCAGGATTAGGAGTTCGGTTGCTGGGTATTCTTGCTGAAACAACCTGATAGTGTGTGGTGATTGACGTGTTTTGAAGACATATATTCACAGGTCCTGACACATTCTCACCATTAGGACAATGCTGGATTTCTCGGCGCAGAGAAAACGAGCAATGGTTTGGGAATAAGTTTGTTGAAGTCATTCAGTGTCGGAATCGTGAGGTGCTGCATTCCTTGACTGGATCCTGATGGCGTGTTGAGATTGGTCTTGCTGTGGAGATATACAAGCACAGGAACATTCAGGCTATGATGACAATGCAGCCTTTCCAGTTTTAGACGATTTGAGTTGGTCTGGGCAAGGGATTTAAGGTTGGAAACTCAGATTGCTGCTTTGATAACCATGACTTGTATCACCGAGGTTATTGGTTTTGGATAGTGGAACTTGTGTGTCAATTTGAACAGGTTACCTATCTAGAAGGAAGGGAAACAGTGAGAAACAGAGAAACAAATTGAGCAAAGGCCTGAGAACTGGATTTGGTGACGTCATCAGGGATGGAAACGTGTTAGGTTGCTGCGTTATTTGACTGGACACATTATTATTATTATTAAACATATTTTATTGTCCAAAAAGACAAAGGGATTGGGCACAAGTGAAGCACTTATTACCGCCTTCTCCCTGAACACATCCTGGACTGGACACATCCTGATATTGTGTGGGGACTGGATATATATAAGTGCAGGGACTCTACATTCATGCCCTGGGACAATGCAGCCTCTCTAGAGGAAGAAGAAATAAGCAACAGTTTTGTTAAAGTAATTTTGGGCTGGAAGCTTGTTCACCATTTATTGTTTTGAGCAGAAACTGGATATTTGAATATGTGAGTCACAATGTTGCCCTTTTCAAGGATCAGACAGCACGAAGAACACACAGGAGCTTCATTGGCGTCATGTTGAGATTAAAATGGGAACGAGTGCTTCAGAGACCTTTACTCTGATCACTGAGGTTTACTAGTCATGCTTTGAAGAAAGAAGACCAAGGTTACTGGAAAAGGGTCATCGTGGTTTAATACCACCCTGTGGAGGAAAGTTTCAGAAAGGAGGCCGTTTCTAAACAGAAATGTAATTGTGACGTCCGATTGGCCATAACTGTGCTCTTGCTGGAATCAAACATATATATAAATGGTTATGAAGAGATCAAGATCTGGTTTATGTATACTTCGGCATGGTATTGGGTACTGACCAAGGGTACATAAAATAGGTAGGTGTGGACAAAATAAGACCAAGACTCTTGCTACTTACGTCTCTCGAATAAGCGGAATACAGCTTGGCCATACTGTTGTATGGGGCACGGGTGGCCCAGTCGTCTAAGGCGCCGCGATTCGCTGTGCAGAGTTGCATCCCTTGGGCATGCCAGAAACCTATGATTCTTTGTTCGAATCCTGGTTCGCCCCGATTATGTTTCTAGGTTTGTCAGCACCATACCCGTGCTCGTGGGTTTCACCGAAGTGGTAAACGTCTGAGACCTCCATCACTTCGGACTCTCCTTCCACATTAAGCTGACACACCGTGATATAACTGGAATAATGTTAAAAGCGGCGTTAAACCCAACTCACTCACTCACCATAATGTTGTTGAGGAACTAGATTTGGTCATTTGGAATCGGAACATTCTACATTTCTATCTGGAGAGGAGCTGTTGTATTGTTGTATTGTGAGCTGATCACAAGAAGGTTTCTGACACTAACCTTCCAGGAATTCAACAAGGTTGACGGATTTCCTTGCTTTTGATTAACGTATGGATTTCCGATATCATGGAACGCCGACACACAAGGAATTAACAGTGTGATACAATTCTGTGTGCGTGATTCTTAACCCATCTGTGTCAATGTTATGATACCCTTTGTCCTGACAAGACATTCGTTCGAAAAAACGGGATCTATATATTTTTATTATTAACATAGAATATTTGTATTGATGTTTATTGTGTCCCGAGTCAAATCACGGAAGCAGAGCCAGTAACTGCTATCGATCGAAAGGTTTACTCAATACAAGGTAGCACCGTGTCTAGCTGACCCAGAACCATAAACACAGGAGAAGTCTTCCCGATGAGATTTCCTAATATGGATCAGTGCGTGATGGTTTGTGCCCTAAATGAGAGGTGGAAGTGAGAATGGTCAGATTCGTCAAGAAGTGCCATCTAATTGAACGTTCATACTGATAAGGGATCCTGAGGAGAAGAGATCTAAGAGCTACCAGTGAGAAGAGTTTTTGAAGGAAAGCGTTCTTAATCATTAGAGCCCCAAAGGTGAAGCTATATATATGAGGACTCCCATTGGGAAGAGCTCTTAAAGAAAAGAACTACCAGTGGGGAGAGTCCTCAATGAGAAGAGTTCCTATTGATGAGTGAGTGGTCCTAAGGAGAAGCGATAGTTGGAATTGGAAATGAGAATAGATCTTGAAAGGAGCAGCTCTTCAAGAGGAGATTTTTAACAGCTCCTAAAGATTAGCGACCCTGGTAAGTAGAGAGTTCCAAGAGAAGAGTTCATAAAGAGATGAGATTTTGAAGAGGAGGGAAGAGGAAACAGTTCCCACAGTCCCAAGGAGAAGAGATCTTAAAGCAAAGAGCTCCTGATCAGAATGGTTCTTGAACAGAAGGGACCCCGTGCGTAGGGAGATCAGTATCACTGCTGAACCACGCATTGGAACGAATTGCTTTGGAGCCTTAAATTATGCACATGAGTAAATTTCCTAGTTGATTTGAATTCCATTGTAAAAAAAATAAGACACAGCTTGTACGATGCAACAGTTACCATCTTAATCCTTAAGGTTCTACGTGTCATGAGTGCCTGTATCTAAGCTGTTTGTGAACGAGACTGTGCTAGTAAATGAGTCTGTGTGTTCCATTCATATAATTGTCTCCGCTATTTGTCTTTTTCATCAAATGGGATCTGTGTTCGTAGGAAAATTGAGGCTGGTTATTCTCAAGCGTCGACGTTAATATTTCTTGTTCGTCAGGGGCACCGGCTATTGGTAAATGGAACTAGATCTCCAGATGTATACATCGATGCAGACAGACCACCGCCTTTAAGAAACAGCACCAAGTGCAAGACAATCGACATATTTAACAAAATCAATAGAGATATCCTGATATATAGACTCTGTAACGTCACGAATGATAAGATTTACAAACGTAATGACTGTCACCCAATTCAGTGATCACCTTTAAAGGTCATCAATACTTCTTACATTGTTCATATAATGAAATGTTATCGACAGCTTGTGAATTATACATATGCACCATCAATACTGCCTCATTTCGTTGTGTCTGAGTTCATATATGTATGACACTGCTTGTTATACAACGGGAGTATTGTGACGGACAAGAAGAAAGGATGGTGCGAGATCATCACTGAAGCAGCTTTACGAAAATTTATACCAAGGAAACAGATGTTCAATTGAAAATGGGGGACTTTCAAGAGATACCAGTTTCCGATAAATCCTCAGAAGTTTCATTGACAACAACATAAATGTATTTTTTCCAGTCAAGAAAGTACCAAGCTGTGCTACATAGTGATGACTTGTTTACACTTTGAAGTAATTGATTCTTGGGTGAGGTGTCCAATATTTCAGATGTGCTGATAGAAGACTTACACACCCAAACTGCACATCAGTTTAGTCTGAGCCAAGGTTTATGAGATAACAGGAACATCATTGCGGTGCATCGTTGTATTTGACTGTCGGTGATTTACCGTGCGGGATATGTTCATGTTGACAATACCACCAAATAAGCAATACGATGTATGTTGAGGAAGTGGGTCAAGTTATTACTCATTGCAAAGAAGAGTAATAGTTTTGCCATTCGGATCATACAGATAATTTATATTACAAATATGTTCAGAAGAACTCGCAGACTGTTTTATTTATAAACCATTGTTACCCCAAAATCTTTAATTTTGAAGAAGTTTATTATGAACTGCTCATGTATGGAAGGTTCACAATGTTCCACATATAATTACAAATACGGATTTATTCAATGGTCATACATTACACACGGATGCAAATTGTAACTGTTTAACCGGTTCATATATAGCCGAGTATTCACTCACTGGAACTTGATTAAAACAACATTGTCATTGGCGAACGAAGAGCTTAGTGTGAAGACATTGAACCCAGGCCTGACTGGTGAACTACGGTAGTGAACGTGTCACTGTAGCTATTGCAACAGGTCATATACTACAGGAAACAACCACACAATGGACATATCTACAATGGATTCCTATGAGGTTTGTTGTAGAATTGGTTACAGTAAACTACGGTTATAACCAACTCAAAGGGACCACAAATTTTAGTTCGTAATAACTGTAGTTCGTTTTAAGCATATATACAGCATATATGCAACAAATGACCGGGACTAAAAGAAGTTCGTTATATCGGTCAGTTCGTTATAAGCATATATACAGCATATATGCAACAAATGACCGGGACTAAAAGAAGTTCGTTATATCGGTCAGTTCGTTATAAGCATGTTCGTTATAAACGTAGTTTACTGTATTTGTTTGCCTGTCAGGTACTCGACAGATCAATTATTCTGCCGTTGTGGAAAGTTTTTTTTCACTAATTGAAATGATAATTTCCGCTGGTCTGTAAACAGTTACAAGGACTTTTCTCCTGGGAGTCTCCTTTGTTCGGTACGTAATGTATTGAGTTGAGTTAAAAAGGATTTTAACGCCGCATTCACGATTATTGCACTTATATAGCGACGTGCATGCACGTGTGTCTGTGTCAGCGTGTGTATGTATGTTTGTCTTGCACCAACTAGAGAAAATAGAACCCGTATTATGCAGAACGAGCGAACACCTTATCCTCTACCCTATCTCCCATGAAAACAAAAAAACAAAACAACATGTTTTGTGTTTTTCAGTCTGACTCGGATACTTCAACTGTAGAGGTCAGCAGTGACGACACCCCGATGCCGACTCCAGGGGTAGGGGGGACCACCCCTAGGGGAAGGGGAAGGGGGCGTCCCGGGAGCAAGTCCATTACCCAGTCGAGCTCAAACACCTCTCTGGAAGGGATGGACACGGTAAGACAGCTGACATTTCTCACAGTCTCGTAACGTTAAACAAACACACATAATTGGCAATGACGCCAATTGAAATTCCCGGGCATCGAATACTCAATAACAGCTACAAATCGGAAAAACACATATTTATTATTTCCTAAATGTGACAGCATGTTGAAAAAAACAACTATTACTCCGATCCATACACCTACATGATATATTTAATCTGGTGGCACAGTGGGCTCAGGCATCGAGAGTTGCTGTGAAAGCTTGCGTACCAAAGCACAGACAGGATCCGCTTTTCGTGGGTTCGAATCCAAGATTCGCTCCGATTATGATCCTTGGTTTGTTTTAACCTACCGTCGTTTCGCCAAATTGGTCTGACTTTGGGCTTTCCTCCCACATTAAGCCGTAAAATAACTGATCTACTCCTGTTTAAAGCTGTGTTTAACAAGTCCCTCACTCACTCATGCGCTTGTGTGTTCAGGGGAGAAGAGGGCGCCTCCACTCCGCCCTGGGGCCGCGTTCAGCGAGGAGAAGACGTGGGGAAGAGGAAGGTAAGAAGACGTCACATGCAGATCTGTTATTGAAACCCCATATAGACTGTCATCTTCCCGGGCAGTTAACTGACTGAAAAAGTCCAGTTTCCAAACAAGCCGAACTAGGTTGGAATTTTGGAGTTACGCTTTGGTTGGACTAAGGAGTCTATGCATAATCCAATCAAATTCGCGTTAAGAATCGACATCAAGTTCGTAAACAACATGGATTTCAACGTGCAGATTTCGGTCGACTGCAGGATTTGCAAAGGATGTGTTCCATCAACTGGGCGTTAACAGCTAATTTCCAAATATTTTCATGATTTTAATCAAGGTGCACACGTGATTTGATGCACTTCGCGAGGTAAGACCCGTTGTATTACAATATAGATCTTGAAAATCGATCAGATCGTCTTGACTCGGCGTCGCCATTTCCTTTAAAGCTAATGCAAGTGATATGAGAGATGGAATCTGATTGGTCAATTGGAAGGGCATAGAAGGGATAAAACTCATAATAGCCACTGGTGGCACTACGACTGAGCCCAGAAATTCCAGCCTTGTTCGACAAGGGTGGAAACTGAACTTTTAGCAAACGCTTTTATCACTAGGCTACCCGACCGCCACACAACGTGGGCAATAATATGATGTTTTGGTATCGCTAAATCGATTATTAGGTTTTCTGAGTCTGCATGTAATAGAGATCTCAATAATTGATGTTGTATTCAACAAAAAATAATGAGGCGTGTGTTACTATTTAGTCCCTACAATTTATAATTCAATATTAATAATTCATTTGATGATAATAATTACTATTGTATTCCTATCGCATAATCAATGATTCTTCTGTGCGATGACACGACATTACCAACCTGTGCGAATGGGGGGCACGGGTGACCCAGTCTTCTAAGGCGCCGCCATTCGCTGTGCAGAATCCTATGATTGTTGGTTCGAATCCCGGTTTGCTCCGATTATGTTTCTAGGTTTGTCAGCACCATACCCGTGCTCGTGGGTTTCACCGAAGCGGTAAACGCCTGAGACCTGCATCACTTCGGGCTTTCCTCCCAGATTAAGCTAACACCCCGCGAAATAACTGGAATACTGTTAAAAGCGGCGTTTAACCCAACTCACTCACTCACTCACTCACTCACTTACTCACTCACTCTTGCGTAAGAAGACACCATATTGATGCTTGCATCGACATCTAAAGCTGAAACTATTTTCTCTTCTTTCGTCTTACATGTAAACATTTCCAGATTCAAGCATCAATAAATGAATACTGGATTTGTTTCAGTGCATATGTGATCATGTGACTAAAGACATGCCAAAAGACAAAATGGCTACTGTCAAAGAGGCGTTAAACCGAACTCACTCACTCACTCACTCATTCACTCTTTTAGCGAATGATTCTATGACGGCCTCGTGGGTGTCTCTGTTCTTGTGTTGGTGCAAACAATGGCCCTGAGACGGTGGACCCGGAGGAGAAACTAACTAACTAACTCACTCACTCACTCACTCACTCACTCACTCACTCACTCACTCACTCACTCACTCACTCACTCACTCACTCACTCACTCACTCACTCACTCACTCACTCACTCTTATGATTCTATGACGGCCTCGTGGGTGTCTCTGTTCTTGTATTGGTGCAGACAATGGCCCTGAGACGGTGGACCCGGAGGAGAAACTCGCCCTGTTGTTGATCGAAGCCCTGGCGGACCACAGCAGGCAGAGACTCCGGGCGACACACATGAGTCTCCGCCGATACGGCTCTGTGGAGAACAGAGTTTCCCAGAAGGACCTGCAACTGGCGTTCACGGTAAGATGTTTTAGTCACGTGCTTCACCCCTGGGAGATTCTGTTCTCCGTGGGATCAACCAAAGCATGACCTTGACCTAGACCTCTGTCTAGGTCAAGGTCATGCTTTGGTTGATCCCACGGAGAACAGAATCTCCCAGAAGGACCTTTAACTAGCGTTCACTGTAAGATGTTTTATAGGTAGAGGTCAGGGTCAAGGTCATGCTTTGGTTGATACATGTGAAGGACAGTAAGATGTTTTATAGGTAGAGGTCAAGGTCAAGGTCATGCTTTGGTTGATACATGTGGAGAACAGAGTCTCCCAGAAGGACCTTCAACTAGCGTTCACGGTCAGATGTTTTAAAGGTAGAGGTCAAGGTCAAACTGTGGAGAACAAAGGCTGTGAAAATGATAGAAAGATCCAATCTGGCGAACAAGGTCTCTCTGACAGACATTCAACTAGCGTGCCCTATGGTCGTAGGTAAAGGACACATTGCTGTTATCCATTTTGGAAAACAGTGTCTCCAAGAAAGACGTTTAACTAGCGTTAATGGTCAATTGTCAGAAACGAAGTCACGTCGAGGACTATTTATTTATCACATTGCGAGAATGCCGCCCCCCCCCCCCCCCCCCCCCCCCCGTGTTGCGCAGCTTCTAAAACTTCATGTTCATCGCCGTGATGGTAAAGGTGTTGACCTCTGTGTTGTCCTACATGTTGACCTTCATACCGCCACCAATTTGACCTCCGTGCTTCACCCCACATTGATCTCCGTGTTGACCTCAGTGCTGACCTCCATGTTGACCACTATCACCTCTTTGTCCTGTGTTGCAGGAGAACCAGATCAAGTTCTCCCACCGCCTGCTGCAGATGATGACGGAGATCTACGAGGACCACGGCGGGGTGGACTACGAGCGGCTGTACAAGTGCCTCATGGCTGCTCATCTGAAGACAGGTGAGCTGCAACAAACAGGAACACAGACACTCAGACGGCCAGGCACTCAGACAGCCAGGCACTCAGACAGCCAGGCACTCAGACAGCCAGGCACTCAGGCAGTCTGACACTCAGACAGCCAGGCACTCAGACAGCCAGGCACTCAGACAGTCAGACAGTCAGACAGCCAGGCACTCAGGCAGTCTGACACTCAGACGGCCAGGCACTCAGACAGTCAGACAGCCAGGCACTCAGACAGTCAGACAGCCAGGCACTCAGACAGTCAGACACTCAGACGGCCGGGCACTCAGACAGTCAGACAGCCAGGCACTCAGACAGTCAGACAGCCAGGCACTCAGACAGTCAGACACTCAGACGGCCGGGCACTCAGACAGTCAGACAGCCAGGCACTCAGACAGTCAGACAGCCAGGCACTCAGACAGTCAGACACTCAGACGGCCGGGCACTCAGACAGTCAGACAGCCAGGCACTCAGACAGTCAGACAGCCAGGCACTCAGACAGTCAGACACTCAGACGGCCGGGCACTCAGACAGTCAGACAGCCAGGCACTCAGACAGTCAGACAGCCAGGCACTCAGACAGTCAGACAGCCAGGCACTCAGACAGTCAGACACTCAGACGGCCAGGCACTCAGACAGTCAGACAGCCAGGCACTCAGACAGTCTGACACTCAGACAGCCAGGCACTCAGACAGTCAGACAGTCAGACAGTCAGACAGCCAGGCACTCAGACAGTCAGACAGCCAGGCACTCAGACAGTCAGACAGCCAGGCACTCAGACAGTCAGACACTCAGACGGCCAGGCACTCAGACAGTCAGACAGCCAGGCACTCAGACAGCCAGGCACTCAGACAGTCTGACACTCAGACGGCCAGGCACTCAGACAGCCAGGCACTCAGACAGTCAGACAGCCAGGCACTCAGACAGTCAGACAGCCAGGCACTCAGACAGTCAGACACTCAGACGGCCAGACACTCAGACAGTCAGTCAGACACTCAGACAGTCAGACAGCCAGACACTCAGTCAAACACTCAGACAGTCAGACACTCAGACAGCCAGGCTCTAAGACAAACAGACGCTCATTCAGAAAGACTGATATACATACCAGGCACTCAGACAGTCAGACACTCAAACAGACACTCAGACACTCAGACAGTCAGGCATTCAGACAGGTAGGCACTCAGACAGTCAGACACTCAAATAGACACTAAGACAGTCAGACACTCAGACGGCCAGGCACTCAGACAGTCAGTCACTCAAACAGACACTCAGACACTCAGACAGTCAGACAGTCAGGCACTCAGACAATCAGGCACTCAGACAGTCAGGCACTCAGACAGTCAGACACTCAGACAGTCAGGCTCTCAGACAGTCAGACACTCAGACAGTCAGGCACTCAGACAGTCAGACACTCAGACAGTCAGGCTCTCAGACAGTCAGACACTCAGACAGTCAGGCACTCAGACAGCCAGGCTCTCAGACAAACAGACGCTTATTCAGAAAGACTGATATACATGCGCTCATTCAGTTCAACATACATTGGTAAATACAGATACACTCTTTCAGACAGTTATAAAGTCAATCATTCAAACAGACGGACATTCATACCAACACCTGCTTGGAGAGTCATTCAAGGTGAGCTAGTTGGGTTTAACGCCTCCTTGGCTTTTAACTTGGAGGTCATTGTAACTCGAAGAAGGACCTCTAGTGACATTTAAGTAATGTTTTAAGTGATTTTTCATAGCCTTCAGACCCCCTACGTGTTCTAATGGTAGAGCGCCTGTCCGGAAAGCAGAAGATCGGGTTTTAGATCTCCTAGCCTAATGTCATTAGATGATGGTACTTTTTGTTCGGCATTATTTGGATTAAACTAGGACTGATTGAGTACATTTTGTCGAGTGGGGTAACCATGACAAACTGTGGCCAGGTGTCTCAGTGGGCCAGCAAAATTATATCGGCATGGGTCCGGACTAACACAAGCAGCCACAAACACAGGTACATGCACGTCGCTATGTAAGTTTGTAAGTTGTGTCTCATTTCACCTCACCTCGCGATATCCATGTGTACTTTGTGTGGCAGGGCGCGACAGTGTGAAGGCCCGTCTGATGCGCAACGACCTCACCTCCAAGCAGGAGATGTCCAAGGAGCAGCGCGACTACGACTTCCTGTGTCGCCTCGAGGACCTGCTGATCCAGGACAGGACGTTCTTCGACATCGAGGTCCTCAGGAAGGACTTCCAGGGCAAGGACACGAACAGGACGGGGAAGATAGGCAGGGAAACGGTAAGCGGCATGGGAAGATAGCCAGGGAAACGGTAAGCGAGAAGGGAAGATATCCAGAGAAACGGTAAGCGGGATGGGAAGATATCCAGAGAAACGGTAAGCGGGATGGGAAGATATCCAGAGAAACAGTAAGCTGGATGGGAAGATAGCCAGGGAAACGGTAAGCAAGAAGGGAAGATATCCAGATAAACGGTTAGCTTGATGGGAAGATAGCCAGGGAAACGGTAAGCGAGAAGAGAAGATATCCAGAGAAACGGTAAGCGAGAAGGGAAGATATCCAGAGAAACGGTAAGCGGGATGGGAAGATAGCCAGGGAAACGGTAAGCAAGAAGGGAAGATATCCAGATAAACGGTAAGCGAGAAGGGAAGATATCCAGAGAAACGGTAAGCGGGATGGGAAGATAGCCAGGGAAACGGTTAGCGGGATTGGAAGATATCCAGGGAAACGGTAAGCGAGAAGGGAAGATATCCAGATAAACGGTTAGCTTGATGGGAAGATAGCCAGGGAAACGGTGAGCGAGAAGGGAAGATATCCAGAGAAACGGTAAGCGAGAAGGGAAGATATCCAGAGAAACAGTAAGCGGGATGGGAAGATAGCCAGGGAAACGGTAAGCGAGAAGGGAAGATATCCAGAGAAACGGTTAGCGGGATGGGAAGATATCCAGGGAAACGGTAAGCGAGAAGGGAAGATATCCAGAGAAACGGTAAGCGGAGATGGGAAGATAGCCAGAGAAACGGTTAGCGGGATGGGAAGATATCCAGAGAAACGGTTAGTGGGATGGGAAGATATCCAGAGAATCTGTAAGCAGGGATGGGAAGATAGCCAGGGAAACGGTAAGTGGGGATGAGAATATATCCAGAGAAACAGTAAGCGGGATGGGAAGATATCTAGAGAAACAGTAAGCGGGATGGGAAGATAGCCAGGGAAATTGTAAGCGGGATGGGAAGAAAGCCAGGGAAACAGTAAGCGGGATGGCAAGATATCCAGAGAAACAGTAAGCAGGATGGGAAGATATCCAGAGAAACGGTAAGCGGGATGGGAAGATATCCAGAGAAACGGTAAGCGGGGATGGGAAGATATCCAGAGAAACAGTAAGCAGGATGGGAAGATATCCAGAGAAACGGTAAGCGGGAGGGGAAGATATCCAGGGAAACGGTAAGCGGGGAGGGGAAGGTAGGCAGGGAAACGGTAAGCGGGGATGGGAAGGTAGCCAAAAAAACGATAAGCGGGGATGGGAAGGTAGCCAAGGAAAAGGTAAGTGGGGATGGGAAGGTAGCCAAGGATACAGTAAGCGGGGATGGGAAGGTAGCCAGGGAAACGGTTAGGGGGGATGGGAAGGTAGCCATAGAAATGGTAAGCAGGAATGAGAAGGCAGCCAGGGAAATGGTAAGCGGAGATGGGAAGATATTATGTAAAACACCTCTTACATACTGGGAACAAATTGATAAAAATAACAACAAAATAGGAGATATTATTTTGTGATGTACGATGTGAACTCTATGACGGTGTGTAATGACTACACTGAAGTGTCCCCGGTGTATGCCTGTCGCCACGTGGGGTAATATGTTGACATGAATGCGCGTCTACTGCAGGTTTTCCTGGTGTGTGACATGCGGACGCCACTGTATGGAGCTCTGTTAAAGAATCTGCTCAAGAGATGTGACGAGGATCATAACGATATGATCAGGTGAGACAATACACTTCACACAATGATACTGAACGATACTTTATACCTTTCATATCAAATGTCAGTGTTATGTTTAGAAAAAAACAACTTTGGCGTACCAGATCATGGGTTCGAATCTCAGATTGGTTTGTCAGCACCATACCCGTGTCCGTTTCACAGGACGTCTAGGTCCTGCATCACTTTGAGCTTTCCTTTAACATTAAGCTAAAATGATGTGATGTAACTGAAATACTGTTCAATGCGGGTGCACGGGTGGCCCAGTCGTCTAAGGCGCCGCGATTCGCTGTGCAGAGGCAGGTCAAGTGTTCACCTGAACAAACACGGGTACATGTGGTACAGGTTAAAATAAGGAATTGGATCAGACATCATTTGGTGTTGATGCGTCAGATTTGGCAATTTCATCCGCATGTTTACCATTAAATTCTTCGTAAATACTGGGGGGCACGGGTGGCCCAGTCGTCCAAGGCGCCGCGATTCGCTGTGCAGAGTTGCGTCCCTTGGGCACGCCAGAAACCTATGATTCTTTGTTCGAATCCCGGTTCGCCCCGATTATGTTTCTAGGTTTGTCAGCACCATACCCGTTCTCGTGGGTTTGACCGAAGTGGTAAACGTCTGAGACCTCCATCACTTAAGGCTTTCCTCGTACATTAAGCTGACACGCCGCGATATAACTGGAATAATGTTTAAAGCGCGTTAAAAACAACTCACTCACTCAGTGTTCAATGCAGCGTTAAATCCAAATAACTCACTTATTCACTCATTTCAGCTGGCCTGAGTTTCTCAGCTTCCTGGAAAAGTCTCAGCAGATGGCGTGGCGGAGATGCCCGGAACTTGCCGAGCTGCCAGAGAAGGCGAAACTGGCTGCCTTCAGTATTGCCTCCAACCCCATCGAGGAACTGTCCAGTGGCGCCAAGACAAGAGTTGTCTCCCGTCTTCTGAAGAAGGTGAGTACCCACGTCAGCCCTATCACCTACAGGGTGTTTCTCGTCCCCATCAACACCCAGACGTATGTGAATGTTAGGATCTGGTCCGTTTAAGAGAATATCACTGACATTCCCATAAATATATACTTAAATATATCTCCCTCTTGTCCAGCCACCATTGAGACGTTGACCCAACGATGATCCAACGTTAGCACGTTGCTATATAATCGCCATTTCACCTCACCTCATAACCTTCAAATTTCAGAAACCTATGGTCGTGGTTTCAAATCCCAGTTCGCCTTGATTGTGTTTCTAGGTTTGTAAAACCATACCCATACTCATCAAAGTGGTAAAACGCTTGAGACATTGATCATGTTGGGCTTTCCTCTCACGTCAACGGGGCGGTCGGGTAGCCTAGTGACGAAGACCCGGGTTCGATTCCCGACATGGGTACAATGTATGAAGCCCATTTCTGGTGTTCCCCGCCATATATTGCTGGAATATTGCTAAAAGCGGCGTTAAACCATACCAACTCACTCACTCACTCACTCCCACGTCAACTCTTTGTATGTTTGTTGTTTAACGCCGCACTCAGCAATATTCCAGCTATATGACGGCGGTCTGTAAATAATCGAGTCTGGACCAGACAATCCAGTGATTGACATTTTGAGCATTGGCAAGCATGGGCTTCTGAAGACCTATTCTAACCCGGATCATCACGGATCCCGCCATCATCTGACCAATGTGAAATACAGTTAAACGCGATCTCATCACTACCGTATCCATAAAGGCGTCATCGGTACCTCCGGTACATCTCAGAATTCCCTGGTGTAAACATCTCCAGCTGAACAATGGTCTAGATGACATGCCACTCTAACGATGAGTGGATCAATACACAGCGTACACACAGATCGTGACGGGGATGGATTGCAGGCACGTGCGTCTGTCAGATATATGTTCAATCAATAGGCCCTCCTTAATGTCACCTGACACTGTTACATACTGCACAAACTCAGGTCCTAGATCTATAGTGGAGTGGAGGGTGGCCTGGTTGTTCCATTAGAAAGTCCGGGTTCGATTCCCTACATGGGTACAAAGTGTTGATGTCATTTCCGGTGTCGTCCGCTGTCTTGGTGTTTGAATAATGCTAAAATACGTTGAAGTTACGTCACTCACTCACTCATTAATCCATAAGTCCATAAATAAATGTTGCAAACATAACTTGAGGTATGTGGAAACTGTTCAATCGATGTGTCATTGAACCGTCTAATGGCACTGAGAATAAACAGTTACACACGCTTAGTCTCAATGTACATATGAGCTCTGACCTGAGGAATACAAAGGATCAAGAAAGGATGTGAGTGATGTGAGATGTTCATCCACACCTACGTGTATTGTCTTTAGGTTGGTGGGTTTGTTGTTTAACGCCGCACTTAGCAATATTCTTGCTATATGACGGCGGTCTGTACATAAGCGAGTCTGAACCAGACAATCCAGTGATTAATACCATGAGCATCAATCCGCGCAATTGGGATCGATGACATGCTTCAACCAAGTCAGCGAGCCTGACCACCCGATCCCGTTAGTCGCCTCTTACGACAAGCATAGTCGCCTGGTACGGCAAGCATCACGGCTCGTATGCATTACATCTACATCTACATCTACGGTCATTTTAACGTTATTTGTATAACTAACGAACAAACCATAGCATGGCGGGCAGGGCATGCTCACCCTTTTCGCGAACATCCGGTGTCATCCGGTATTTTCAGTTATCCATTCATATAATTTCACCGCCATTTTGTCTTTTACCATTGGAATCTATTTCGGCAGATTATCGAGACTGGGTGCAGTCTGGCGTTTCCGGTTTACGTTACATAGAGGGGAAACCAGCGAGGGTTCAGATTACATCGGCAATATTTCTACTGCAACATTTGCTACAGTTTTGCGGCTATCTACTCCAGATCCACATTGCTCAATATCTGGCAACGTTACAGTTCGAACAAAATTCATGCATGAAGTAGGCCGCATCTGACTTCATGAAGTATACACGGCCTCCTTCATTATCTGACTGAAACAATAGCCACGCGTCACTGGGATTAGTCTGAAACAACCAATTCGTTCGGGTAGATACTGGTACAAAAGTAACCATGCTTCAGGTCCTACCAAAAAATAATCATGTTTCAGGTCCTACCAAGAAAATCGTTACTGGACTAGGTGGTTGTTCTGAAAAATTATGTGGGTGTGACAATATCAACTGTTATAATGATGTCCGCTGTAGATCAGAGCAAGCAGACACAGCATGAAAAGCCAGGTTCCGTGTTCCGGAAATAATCCGGAAACTATCCGGAAATAATCCGGAAACTGTCCGGAAACCTTCTAACTTTGAATCCGGAATGTTTTTGGGAGCGTAAATCATCTGTGAACATTCCTAAATAATTGTCAAATCTTTTTATGTGGATTTTGTTCAGTTACGTGTGATACACATGAAGATCACCAAGACAACTGACGAATGGCTTGAAACTAACTGCCACTGTCCAATCACCGCGAATAGAGCCCTTCTCTAAACCGACAGTCAGATCTTCCCGACATTGCAATGCAGCTGGATAAGAAAAACCCACATATTCTCTTTCACAGGCATCATTACAAAAAGAAAAATCAACATTATCGACAATAAGTCGAGAGAAGTCCGTTGACGAAAGTGTCCCTCAAGCAACGACAACCAATGAGCAGCCGAACCCACCCCAACAAGCCAATCAACCCTCGCCAAAGATTGAACCAGCCAATCAGAAGACAGAGCCAGATCCGGTCAAAGCAGTACCTGATAGCAAAGAGAAGGAGAGTAAGGACACATCTGTCAAACAAGGTAAGGTCTGGTCTTGTTAAAAACAGACTGAAAACTAGTAAACAATCAATACATTAAAATTCATGTTGAGATGTTCTTTGTCATAAGTGTCCAAACAGTAGTACTTATATAGAAGAAGAAAATGCTAATATATTTCTTTTGTATTGAGGCGATCTGCTAATGCACATTGTATACAACCCGTGAAGATCCAGGTTAGAATTGGTCTTCAGCAACCCATGCTTGCCGTAAGAGGCGACTATGCTTGTCGTAAGAGGCGACTAACGGGATCGGGTGGTCAGGCTCGCTGACTTGGTTGATGCGTGTCATCGTATCCCAATTGCGTGGATCGATGCTCATGATGTCACTCACTGGATTGTCTGGTCCAGACTCGATTATTTATAGACCGCTGGAATATAGCTCAGTGCGTCGTTAACAAAATTCATTTAGTCTTTATGTAACATGGTTTTGAGTTGTGTTTCTGTGTCTTTCCAACCGTTTCTCCTAAGGTTTCCTACGAGTGCGTGGTCTGATTGCATCTACTAGCCTCGTATCCACAGTCAGGGCTCTAATGAACAGCGGTACAACCAGCATGCTGTATACTGACATAATCTTCTGGGTAGCGCTAGTGCATGCATCATAGTCCACAGCTACACAGGGACTTTGTATAACATACGCGGGCTTACAGTATTGACTAATATCGGTAGCTAGTTTAGAATGCATATACATAGCACATTCGCCTTGCCAGAATCAACACACGCTTTGTGTATGTCTTTCTTGATAGCATGTTTTGTGCATGTCATTATGTAGGTCAACGACATTGCCCCAGTTAGGCAGGCAGTAACGATAGCATCCAATTGGTCAGTGTTAATGCATGCATTATTGTCATATATAAGAGTAACGAGCAGCTGTCTACATAACGACAAGCTCCCATTGGCGAGAGTGAATGCATGCATTATTGTCAATATATATAAGGGAAAGGGCACAGTAGACCATTGAAAGACAAGCTCCCATTGCTAGGTGAAAATGCATTGTCAATACATAAGTGTAACGTGCAGTTGGATATGTAATGACAAGCTCCCATTTGCTAGTGTTAATGCATTGTCAGTATATAAGTGTAACCTACAGTTGGATATATAATGACAAGCCCCCATTAGCTAGTGTAAATGCATTGTCAGTATATTAATGTAACCTACAGTTGGATATATAATGACAAGCCCCCATTAGCTAGTGTCAATGCATTGTCAGTATATAAGTGTCACCTACAGTTGGATATGTAATAACAAGCTCCCATTAGCTAGTGTTAATGTATTGTCAGTATATAAGTGTAACGTACTGTTGGTAATCTATAGAAAAGTTCCCATTCCATGATGTTAATGCATGCATTAGTCTCAGCATATAAGTGTATCGAGCAGTCGGATATGTAATGACAAGCTCCCATTAGCTAGTGTTAATGTATTGTCAGTATATAAGTGTATCGAGCAGTCGGATATGTAATGACAAGCTCCCATTAGCTAGTGTTAATACATTGTCAGTATATAAGTGTATCGAGCAGTCGGATATGTAATGACAAGCTCCCATTAGCTAGTGTTAATGTATTGTCAGTATATAAGTGTATCGAGCAGTCGGATATGTAATGACAAGCTCCCATTAGCTAGTGTTAATGCATTGTCAGTATATAAGTGTATCGAGCAGTCGGATATGTAATGACAAGCTCCCATTAGCTAGTGTTAATACATTGTCAGTATATAAGTGTATCGAGCAGTCGGATATGTAATGACAAGCTCCCATTAGCTAGTGTTAATGTATTGTCAGTATATAAGTGTATCGAGCAGTCGGATATGTAATGACAAGCTCCCATTAGCTAGTGTTAATGTATTGTCAGTATATAAGTGTATCGAGCAGTCGGATATGTAATGACAAGCTCCCATTAGCTAGTGTTAATGTATTGTCAGTATATAAGTGTATCGAGCAGTCGGATATGTAATGACAAGCTCCCATTAGCTAGTGTTAATACATTGTCAGTATATAAGTGTATCGAGCAGTCGGATATGTAATGACAAGCTCCCATTAGCTAGTGTTAATACATTGTCAGTATATAAGTGTATCGAGCAGTCGGATATGTAATGACAAGCTCCCATTAGCTAGTGTTAATGTATTGTCAGTATATAAGTGTATCGAGCAGTCGGATATGTAATGACAAGCTCCCATTAGCTAGTGTTAATACATTGTCAGTATATAAGTGTATCGAGCAGTCGGATATGTAATGACAAGCTCCCATTAGCTAGTGTTAATGTATTGTCAGTATATAAGTGTATCGAGCAGTCGGATATGTAATGACAAGCTCCCATTAGCTAGTGTTAATGTATTGTCAGTATATAAGTGTATCGAGCAGTCGGATATGTAATGACAAGCTCCCATTAGCTAGTGTTAATGTATTGTCAGTATATAAGTGTATCGAGCAGTCGGATATGTAATGACAAGCTCCCATTAGCTAGTGTTAATGTATTGTCAGTATATAAGTGTATCGAGCAGTCGGATATGTAATGACAAGCTCCCATTAGCTAGTGTTAATGTATTGTCAGTATATAAGTGTATCGAGCAGTCGGATATGTAATGACAAGCTCCCATTAGCTAGTGTTAATGTATTGTCAGTATATAAGTGTATCGAGCAGTCGGATATGTAATGACAAGCTCCCATTAGCTAGTGTTAATGTATTGTCAGTATATAAGTGTATCGAGCAGTCGGATATGTAATGACAAGCTCCCATTAGCTAGTGTTAATACATTGTCAGTATATAAGTGTATCGAGCAGTCGGATATGTAATGACAAGCTCCCATTAGCTAGTGTTAATACATTGTCAGTATATAAGTGTATCGAGCAGTCGGATATGTAATGACAAGCTCCCATTAGCTAGTGTTAATGTATTGTCAGTATATAAGTGTATCGAGCAGTCGGATATGTAATGACAAGCTCCCATTAGCTAGTGTTAATGTATTGTCAGTATATAAGTGTATCGAGCAGTCGGATATGTAATGACAAGCTCCCATTAGCTAGTGTTAATACATTGTCAGTATATAAGTGTATCGAGCAGTCGGATATGTAATGACAAGCTCCCATTAGCTAGTGTTAATGTATTGTCAGTATATAAGTGTATCGAGCAGTCGGATATGTAATGACAAGCTCCCATTAGCTAGTGTTAATACATTGTCAGTATATAAGTGTATCGAGCAGTCGGATATGTAATGACAAGCTCCCATTAGCTAGTGTTAATGTATTGTCAGTATATAAGTGTATCGAGCAGTCGGATATGTAATGACAAGCTCCCATTAGCTAGTGTTAATGTATTGTCAGTATATAAGTGTATCGAGCAGTCGGATATGTAATGACAAGCTCCCATTAGCTAGTGTTAATGTATTGTCAGTATATAAGTGTAACGTACTGTTGGTAATCTATAGAAAAGTTCCCATTCCATGATGTTAATGCATGCATTAGTCTCAGCATATAAGTGTATCGAGCAGTCGGATATGTAATGACAAGCTCCCATTAGCTAGTGTTAATGTATTGTCAGTATATAAGTGTATCGAGCAGTCGGATATGTAATGACAAGCTCCCATTAGCTAGTGTTAATGTATTGTCAGTATATAAGTGTAACGTACTGTTGGTAATCTATAGAAAAGTTCCCATTCCATGATGTTAATGCATGCATTAGTCTCAGCATATAAGTGTATCGAGCAGTCGGATATGTAATGACAAGCTCCCATTAGCTAGTGTTAATACATTGTCAGTATATAAGTGTATCGAGCAGTCGGATATGTAATGACAAGCTCCCATTAGCTAGTGTTAATGTATTGTCAGTATATAAGTGTATCGAGCAGTCGGATATGTAATGACAAGCTCCCATTAGCTAGTGTTAATACATTGTCAGTATATAAGTGTATCGAGCAGTCGGATATGTAATGACAAGCTCCCATTAGCTAGTGTTAATGTATTGTCAGTATATAAGTGTATCGAGCAGTCGGATATGTAATGACAAGCTCCCATTAGCTAGTGTTAATACATTGTCAGTATATAAGTGTATCGAGCAGTCGGATATGTAATGACAAGCTCCCATTAGCTAGTGTTAATGTATTGTCAGTATATAAGTGTAACGTACTGTTGATAATCTATAGAAAAGTTCCCATTCCATGATGTTAATGCATGCATTAGTCTCAGCATATAAGTGTATCGAGCAGTCGGATATGTAATGACAAGCTCCCATTAGCTAGTGTTAATACATTGTCAGTATATAAGTGTATCGAGCAGTCGGATATGTAATGACAAGCTCCCATTAGCTAGTGTTAATACATTGTCAGTATATAAGTGTATCGAGCAGTCGGATATGTAATGACAAGCTCCCATTAGCTAGTGTTAATGTATTGTCAGTATATAAGTGTATCGAGCAGTCGGATATGTAATGACAAGCTCCCATTAGCTAGTGTTAATACATTGTCAGTATATAAGTGTATCGAGCAGTCGGATATGTAATGACAAGCTCCCATTAGCTAGTGTTAATGTATTGTCAGTATATAAGTGTATCGAGCAGTCGGATATGTAATGACAAGCTCCCATTAGCTAGTGTTAATACATTGTCAGTATATAAGTGTATCGAGCAGTCGGATATGTAATGACAAGCTCCCATTAGCTAGTGTTAATGTATTGTCAGTATATAAGTGAATCGAGCAGTCGGATATGTAATGACAAGCTCCCATTAGCTAGTGTTAATGTATTGTCAGTATATAAGTGTATCGAGCAGTCGGATATGTAATGACAAGCTCCCATTAGCTAGTGTTAATGTATTGTCAGTATATAAGTGTAACGTACTGTTGGTAATCTATAGAAAAGTTCCCATTCCATGATGTTAATGCATGCATTAGTCTCAGCATATAAGTGTATCGAGCAGTCGGATATGTAATGACAAGCTCCCATTAGCTAGTGTTAATGTATTGTCAGTATATAAGTGTATCGAGCAGTCGGATATGTA